AACTCCCATGAGTTATGGAGGTTATTTGTGGAGCTGAAGGCAAAGGAGAGAAGAGAACATAATTTAATCCAGGCCTAGGTGTCTCTACAGGGCCTGAAGTCCCCTCTGATAGAATAGCTCTGGCTTCTGCTGTCAAATAGTTGTTTGACACAAACAACTACTGATCTGCTGATCCTCGACTCAGGATCCTTGCCCTGTCTTGGAAAAACCTGCTCTTACCGGATCTATGAGGGGAGAATGGCAAGCAGGCCTTAGGAACTGGCCTTCGGCCAAGTCGCCACATGACTACACTGCCCTGGAGCTAATCCTGATATCCCTGGGCAGGCTGCACTTGGCTGGAGGGTAGCACAGAGAGTACAAAAGTCCCCCAGTGCAGCACGATGGTGGAATCCCCATGCAACCTGCCAGTCTTTCTGCAAAGCTTTGTCTCCCCAGGTCAAATGGGCCCTGCTCATCTGCTCTGCCCAGCTCTGGAAGAAGACTCTACTCGGATCAAATATGTGAACGTTCTTTGAACATGAGGTTGAGGCACAATTACTCAGCCTATCCCAGAAGCCAGTTCAGGCTGCTCAGCTGGATTAGTCATGTTGCTTGCCTGAATGTGGCCACCCATACATTGGAGCTTCCTAGAGACGACATGAGACTCCCCCAGCCTTAGTGCCTCCAGAGAGGATGCTTTAGGGCCTCACAATGGCTCACATAGAGCCCCTAGTTTTTCTCTTGTCTACTGTGTAGGGTGTGTTTGTGCAGTTAAACGACCCCCTCCTGCATGTGGAGAACTAACTATGGCAATGGGCTAAAGCAGTTCTGCATTGTGATTTTGATTTGCCCTGGTGGCCCTCTCCCCTCAGGATTCCTTCAGGCTGAAAGTACTGTGTAACTAATCTTGGCAGCCCTCTCAGTGGAGGGTCTTCCTGTCACAGATGGCCCCTTAGAGGCCTCCACCTTCACAGCAGCTTCTGTGCATTCCTGGGTTGGGCTGGGTTGAAGCTGGGGGAAGAAATGGAGAGAATGGGAAGCAGCTAATGCGTTGCCCAGGCCTCTCTGCCGAAGTACTCTTTCCTTGGAACTTGTATTCTCTGCCTTCCACTTCCAGACAGCAGGGCCCTAGCGGCTGCCCTTCAGCAGTTCCTTCCCTGGAAGACGAGCCTTGTGGGCCAGAGGTGTGCATGTCCTAGCTGCTGAGCCCCCGCACCCCTCCCTTTCTGCTTCCTTTGGGAACTTTCAGTGCTAAAAACAAGCGTTCTGAGAACCATATTTTTCTAGGTTAAGGGTGAAAAATGCAGCGTTTCCTCCAAGTGGAAAGCACTTGGCAAGCCAGCTCTGGGCACATTTCCGAGATCCTTCCGCCCCCTCAGGGAGGAGGCAGCTCTCTGCCACAGGGAGAAGAGAGGAGGTGGGAGGTGGAGGAAAAGAGCGAGGGAAGTCAGAAGGAAAGCGCCAATTACTGAGGAACCAGTCAGTGTGTGGAAACCAGTAGGCCTGTTTGTATTGGAGCAGAAGCCCGGAGACTGAACTGGCCTGGGTCAGGAAATGAAAGCAAATAAGAGGACAGAGTGGGACAGGCAGTCAGAGAGGTGGTGGACAGGCCTGACAAGCTTCTGGGGCAGCATGGGGACAAAGAAGACCTGAGAGACCTTCCTGAGGGAGCTCTCACGGGTGGTCCTAGAGGAAACACACAGGATTATCCAAGTCCATTTTAATAGGAAAGCAAGAATAACTACTTTCCTCATTCCACCCGTCGCCTTTCCTCAGATGCTGTGGGAAGTTCTGGGGAATTTCCTCATATCCTAATTGTGGGACAGAGGATTTTTAGGAATTTATGTCTCATGATATCCTTCTTTCTGGGATGGCCGGAACTGCATTACCCTGGGAGCTCCCTGGGTACTTCCCATCAAGAGCCCAGCCCACCCTCTATACCATGCCAGTCACCCCAGTAGCTACCTAAAAGCCAGGGCACAGATCCCATCTTCCTCCTGATCTGTCCTTATGTGGGAAACAACAGGTGGAAAGACAGATGGACAAATGAAGATAAGACAGCAGATGAGGCAGGGGTGGGGGGAGGTAAGTGTTGTTTCCTTGGGATCTCACTGGGCCACTAGCTAAGAACCTTATAGGCCTGAGCCCCCAGTCCCAAGGACTCCTGGGAAGAGTGCACAGGGTGTGGTGTTACGTCTCTTCTTTCAACAGTATTACCTGCCATGTGGTCCAGTAGCACTAATAACCCAAATTTGTCACCCTCTCTGTATTCATGACCCTTGCAGGGAGGCTCAGTGTATCTTCTCACTGTGCCAAGGGGTCTCTTTGTCATGCTGTCATGATGCAGGTGGAGTCTGTTTCTTCCTCTCTTAAATCTAAAGACCTTGACTAATAGGAGGTGGCTGTAGCGTCATGTGGCAGTTCCAGACAGAGGCTGTGCAGCACTTGCTTTTACTCTAGGATCCCTGTCTTCACCCGTCATCATGAGAAAAGATGCTCAGACCAGCCCCCCGCCCGCACCCCCGTCCCAGGAGGAGAACGGGAGGCACGGAGGCATGCTCTACAGAATCAGGAGCAGCTCCAGGAAGGCATAAATGAGTCTTAGCCCTCTTCATACCCTTTACTGAATATATTCCCTGTCTCCTAAAATAGAGTGTCCCTTTTAATCTTCTTTTGGGACGTTTCATATGCATCTTCCTGAGCCATCAACAAGACTTACCAACTCACCTTCCCTTCCCAGCTGAGACCACCCTAAATTCACAGCCCCTTATGCGTGGGAGTAAATCCAGCTGAGGCTAGACTCGCCACCTCCTCAAGCCCAGGCTGCTCAGCGAGGCTGCGAAGGTCACCACTCAGGGCACATGAGCAGACACCCATTGCTATGTACCATGGAGGTTTGTAGTTGGTTGTTAGGCAGCATGATTGTGGCAAAAGGTAAGAGAAACACTTACTAAAAAAATTAGGACACCCACAAGCCAGGCTGGGCTCTTCCCAGCTCTCTTCTCCATTGGAACCCGGGTCTGATCCTTTAGTTTCAGGTTTGCTGTTCATCCTTCCAACCACCCTGCTATTAATTCCCCCCACATTTCCCAGATTTGGTCCACAGAGGGGGTGGAAGAGCTTAGTCCAAGCTTGTGATATACGGTCTCCTACCCTGTACTCCTTTGCTGAGCCTTCCCACCATCCTCTTGGGTCCTTCTCCTCTGCTGCCCTCTCACTTACAGTCTTTCCTGCCTGAATCCGAATCACTCCCTGCCTTCAGCCCCATCTGCTTACCACCCACAGAGGATGTGGTTCCCAGTTCTCCTCAGCTTCAACACACGCCCATTGCATTTTTCTCTGAATAACGGTTGCATGGAATAATACAATTCTCTGGCTTCAACTCAGCTGGATACTTTACTAAAAATCACATTTTTTTTGTTGTTGTTTTTTTGGCTGGAGGCTAATCCATTCAAAATGTGCTGTGAAAGCAACTGCGCTGAATCTTGGGAAACACTGGCCCTATTAATCTCCAAGAAAAGTCGCTGAAGTGAGGGAAGCTGGGAAGTGGCAGGACCTCCTTTCTGCCATCTGCATTTTCTCTAGCCTCACAAGGTTGCACATGCAGAAAGGGATGAGTATTATTACTGTCATTATTATTACCATTCTCCTTCTAGAGAAGGATCCTGGCTACTAAAGACCCTCAAAGTCAGGAGACGGAAGTTTCGGATACAAGGGAAACCTCTCTAGATTATTTATTCATTTTTAGAATTCTTAATTTGTCTACACCTTCTTTGCACAAGCTCCAAAGTTTTTGTTGAATGAATGCTACACAAACAAGTGCGAAGTCAGTCCTGGCACTAATTATAGGTTCTTGCATGAGCGAGATCCTATTTCTCCCGTCTTCACGGGCAGCTTTCATTTCACCTTTCCCTTAGCAAAGCCTGTCATGGGATCTGCCTTGAGCCAGCTGTCCTGAGAGTCACATGCATACATAGCAGAGGGACACAGCAGAGGTACAGAAGGAAGGAGCTGTTTCTCTGACTCTTCATACCCCTGCGCCTTGCAGACAGAGCAAAGCCCACCCCCGCACAGTCTGGGAAGCACTGAATACCTTGGCATCCATTTGTGGATGTGGTCTCTACAAAATCAGGAGCAACTCTCTGAATGAATAAATGAGTCTAGCTTTCTTCATCCCCTTTATTGCAGATATTTTCTCTCTCTTAAAAATGACAATGACCCAAGCATGGTAGCACATGTTCCTTTTTAATCTGCTTCTTTTGGGAAGCTTCGTATACATTCCCTTGAGCTGTCAATGCGTACTGAGGAGAATGGTCAGCTCCCCAGGACCCCACATGAACTGTGTCTTCCACTCCACGCACACCCCAAGGGCCCAAACAAGTCTCCTCTGGGAGACAATTTTTAGGAAAATGTGTAAGAATTAGGATTTTCTACCTTAACTTTCAAAGGTATACTGTGTGGACAGCTTGCAGCTATAAAAATATACATGTACAAAAGTACAGCTACAAAATCACGGAGCCCATTGCCTTAGATTTGCATTATAAAAAGTAGAGATTTCACGTTGAAGGTAAAGTCTGAGGAAGGGGGCCACATTAAGGTTTTATGTCTAATCTCCCCCAACCTTATTTTCCCGGATCAGTTAGACTACACTGAGTCAGCTAGTGAGGAGTGCAAGGGGTTAATCAGATCAATTCGTGGGCCAAGGGGAGGAACTGGAAGATCAAGGTCACCCAGTCATTGTTCTGCTGTCAGGAACAATGTCATGAGTCAGGGAAGGAAAGAAGTATTTTAATACTGTCCAGTGGGTCTCTCTCTCTCTCTCTCTCTCTCTCTCTCTCTCTCTCTCTCTCTCTCTCTCTCT